TATATTAATAATAATATGATAATATTTTTATAATTATCAGTATCCAATCTATTAATCGATTAATTCAAATCTGATATTCTAGAGACAAGAGTGACCCTAACTAGTTTACTCTATTCACAATCGTCAAGATTCAAACATCGACTTTGCTTATGGGATCTAGTGTCTCATCCACTAGACCAACTAGTTGTTAATAATATTGTTTTGTTGAGTCTCTCAACTATTAAAAGTTGCAAAATAGTCACCCGACTATTCATTATGTTCCAAACTCGTCCTTTTCCATTAAAAAAATTGATGGCAGTCTAAGTTGAACGTTAACTTGTTGGTTGTTATATGATAAATTCTTATCTCAAACGACTATCATATTCTAGTCATCATGTTAATATTCAACTCAAACAACAGTCAATTTTTAACGGAAAAAGACGAGTTTGGAACATAATGAATAGTCAAGTGACCATTTTATAAAATTTTAATAGTCGAGGGACTCAACAAAGCAATACCTTATAATCATAGGACAATTTTATAACTTTTAATAGTTGAGTGACTTAATAAAATAATACACTATAATTAGAAGATTATTTGCGTAATTTATCCTGAAAGTAAATAGTTTTGAAAAGATCAAATCATTAAAAAGTTGTTTGATAAAAAAAATAAGGATTAAAGCGAAAAATTAATCAAATACTAGTGATTAACTGAAAGTTAAATACAACAATTAATAGATTTTGGCCTGCCCGAAACGACGTGTTTTGGCATCGTCGCCATTGTCATTAAAACATAGACTGGGGGTCCTTGGCTCTTGCGTACTGTGTAGTGAGTATGGTTGAGTAATAAAATTGAGAAAATTAACACGAATCGAATAAAACGGTTCGGCTCGAGTTTATCTTTAAACGGTTCGATTTTGGGTTGATTTAAAGAATCAATTCTATTGATTCGGTTTGGTTCGAATTTTTCATATGAAACTCATTTGTTCCATATTGAACCGCATAAATATTTTTTTAAAATTTATAATTTCAACTGAATTTTTCATTAAAAATCGATGAACTAAATCGAACCGAAAAAACTACATTATCAAACCGAATCGAACAAAAAAAATCGATTTCACATCATTCAGTTTTTTAACTATTAGATTTCGATTTAAATTTTAATAAACCGTTTATTTCGAAAAAAATCGGTTTCACATAATTCTTCAAAGTTGCTTTGCCCATTTGCACTATCAAGAGATTTTCTTTCATTTAAAAAATTGGCAGTATATTGGGTGAACAAGGGGAAGCGGCTCTCGAGAAAGCGAGCATATGTTTACTAAATTGTGGGCCGACTGGTTCTGAGACTTTAAAGAATCTTGTTCTTGGTGGTGTTGGGAGCATTACTATAGTCGATGGATCTAAGGTTGAATTTGGTGACCTTGGAAACAATTTTATGGGTAGGTTTTAGTATGTTTCCCCCATTTATTTTTCACTTTTTTAATGTCCTTTAATTTGGGGTTTAATGATCTTGTCTTCTAATTTTGGGAATTGTTCTGGTGTAGTGGATGATTCAAGCCTTGGTCAGTCCAAAGCCAAGTGTGTTTGTTCATTCCTCCAAGAGCTAAACGATGCTGTTAAAGCTAAGTTTATTGAAGAGCATCATGATGCTTTAATAGACACCAACCCATCTTTCTTTTCTCAGTTACCTTGGTTGTGGCCACTCAGGTATGGAATCTTCCCATTTCTGAACTTTCACTGATGAACTTCACTGTAAGGTACCTTTTTTAGGCTTCCAGTGGTTACTTAAAAAGTTTTTGTTTATCTTTTAGTCTGGTTTTATTGGTTCCCCATGTGTGCGAAGAAAATTTGGAATTAAGGTGAACTTGTTCGTAATTTTGTGTTGCTTTGTTTCTTAAAAGAATCATCTGGTTTTATGTTTCTTCCCTTTTAACCATGCTGTTTCAGCTGGTGGAAGAGTCTATGGTGAAGCTTGATAGAATCTGTAGACAAGAAAATGTGATGTTGATATTTGCTCGCTCCTACGGCCTTACAGGTTTAGTTAGAATCAGTGTGAAGGTAACATATTATGGTTTATGTTGTTTGTGTTTTCATCCTATGTATCATTGGTCATGGCATTGATATCTCACTGATATAGGCATATAGCTTGATATTGGTAGGAACAAATCTTGAATTTCTATTGTTCTTATATAGGCCGGCCCATATATATGAATGGTTATTTGACATTTTCATAAGTTTAGTATTTAGACAAAAAAAGGGGGAAATGTCTTAATATGACGTTCATGTTTGCTTGTGGCAGGAACACACTGTAATTGAGTCAAAGCCTGACCATTTTCTGGATGACCTTCGGTTAAATAACCCATGGCATGAGTTAAGAGGGTATCTATCTTCCATTTTATTTTCTTTCTTAGTACATGGTTTGACTTCTGTATTCGCTACCGTGCACTATTGTGTATTTCTAATGTCACTTTAACTGTTAAAACATCATTGAGGTTAGATAGAACTTCCATTTTGTTTTTGTATTTGGAATCGGTAACTCATCTCCCAGAACTCATGCAATCTCCCCTCTTATGGTCAGCGGTCAAATTTTTTATATTTTTTGGTGGGGGAGGTAAGTAGATATTTTCCATAATTTTGGGATGAAACCTTTGGCATGTCGTTAAAGGATTTTTATAATTCATGCAATGACGTTATTTTCTTAATGCTTTTACTCCTATTGTGCTCTTAAAAAATATTTGAGTATTCTCTAAACTCTAAGCAGCAAGCTTATATCATTTGTTTTCCTCAATTGGAATTCTGACTGGCATTTACATATAATAGGTTTTCTGAAGAGATTGGAGTTGGTTTTAATCTTGTACATTATGTTTACAAGGCCAAAGATTTGGGGCACCTTGCTCTTTGTTCATAGTAGTACATTACATACTATGTATTTTGCAAAGAACTTATTGATGTGAAACAAATTGAGCGTGGAAAGTATCCTTTGTATGATTTGGTAGACACTTTATTTTTATTGTCTTTCTGTAATTGCAATGCAGTATGCTTTACATTGGTTTAGTTGTGTTCTGTGTTGATTTAGTATCAGCTGGGAAAATCAAACACTACTTCGGCTGGTGCTTAACCATTCCCTCCCACCTTTTTTTTTTAAATCTCAGGTTCAGATTTGCTGCAGATAATTAATGATAACTATGCTGAAGTTGGCACTGGTTCTGACTTTTGGGTGATTGTAGCAGCTTTGAAGGTTGATATTTAAAAGTTAACCCTTCGTTGCTATTACCTCAATAATTAATTTCTCCTGTAGATACTGTTCCTAAAGTAGTGTTGTGCGCAGTGACACCCAATAGCTTTGTTCTTATAGTGGACACTAGTCTGTTGAATGCTGATACATGTATAGAACGGTTGTAAACCAGAGGACTCTCTGAAAACCATGAACCAGAGGACTCTCTGAAAACCATGATGGATGGTGGCTAATGTGTCCTTTTCTCATTTTATTACCAAAGACGCATATTCACACAGCTGATTTGTTTCTCAGAACCATTTCACTCTTTCAAATATTTCTGGGAAAATTTTGGATAAAATTTCAGTTGTGATGCTGTCTCAATAATTTGAATTACTTTTCAACTTTTTATTGTCTGATTTCTTCATTTAAGTGACGCCATCTGTGGGAAGTTTCTGATGCATGATCATTAGTGGCGAGTGTGAGAGTTGTGGGATTTTGACTGGCGTTTTGGTGCCATGATATTTGCTTTATTTGTTCTGCAACTATATAAGATATTGGTCATTTAGTTTAAACCTGCATTTTCCATGTGACATTCTTGATGATATTACGTTGGCTATTTACAATTTCTTAAAGATTATTGAATATTCAATCAATATCGATCCTGCTATAACTTTTCATGATTATCTTAAACTTAATTCTATTCAAGCTCCTACAAGTTTGTCAATATCTAAATTAGTATCTGCAATTGTGAACTTTATGCAGGAGTTTATTGCAAATGAAGGTGGTGGGGAGGTGCCACTTGAGGGGTCAATACCAGATATGACATCTTCATCTGAGTTAGTGATTGATCCCTACAAAATTTCTAGCATTCCTTTTCTCTAAAATCGAGAATAATAACTCTATCAATTCTCTTGTTCAGGTGTTATGTCAGCTTGCAGAAGATCTGTCAGAATAAGTCTGAGGCTGATTATCATGTTATTGAGGAACGAGTTAGGAACATTCTTAAGAAAATTGGCAGAGATCCCCATAGTATTCCTAAAGCTACTATGAAAAGCTTTTGTAAAAATGCTAGAAAACTCAAAGTAAGTATACTACCTTTTTTTTATGTTTGCTATTTAATGGTTCAATCTATTGCATGTATCCTTATTGACACAAGAAGACTTTAATGATATAAATGCCATCATTCATAACAATTGAAGATGAGGTAAGTAAAGTATTTGTGGCCTATAATATGTCTCCAAGTATTACTTTCAGGAGGACCTCAGTTGATCTTTATCGTACTTTGTTGAATGGTTTTTATTAAATAATCTGGTTTTATTCCATCTAGGTTAAAGACCGTTAGTTGTTCCAGTCTTATTTTCATTATTTTTCCTGTTAATTTGGATTTTCATGCCATAAGTTTTTGTTATCAGCATCCTGCCTGCTGACCTGCATGAATGTTTATGTTACAATTAATAGAATGATGTACACTGTGCAACGATTGATGATTCCAAAGAGATCATAGTGAGTCATGACCCTTTTGGGTTAGTCCCTCTGCTAATCTTTTCTCTGTAGGCTTGTAGGTATCGCCCCATTGAGGAGTATAGTAATCCATCCCTTGCTGAGCTGCAGAAGTATTTAACTGATGAAGATTACGGGTCCAGTGACTTAAATTTTGATGCTTCCGTATGTCAAAATTATGTTCATCATCCCATGCCAATTCTCCCCCTTTCACTGAATATTATTATGATGTTCTTTATTCTCCTTTTGGACTAAAGACATTGTTCTATTTATATATGAAAGCTTTCTTTTATCTGACAATAGGTTAATAATAAATGAAGATTCTTTCATATAAAATGCTTAACACATGCTCTTTGATTGGTGCTTGTGCTTTTTGCAATGTCCCTTGTTTTCGGTTCTTTTTTCTAATCTTTGAAGTTTCACCTTCTATTAGGAAAGGCAAAACGTCAACCAAATAAGTTAATTTGTTTGATAATCTGTGTAATGTAATAGCGACTATGTTGGTCCTTTCTTTACTATTGTGTTTAATATGTTGACTTTTTTTTATGTTGATTTGCAATTCAATTCATGGTGATGTGTACAAAACATGGTCTTCTGTTTATGTGTTTCAGTATTGCTGTTGGATTATATATTCTTCTAAGAGCTGTTAACCGCCATGCTGCAAACTTTAACCATTTTCCTGGGCAGTTCGACGGGTAAGCCTAACACATTGTAGTTTTTTCTTTCTTCAGACATCATAACCTGAAGGTTGCATTCTATAACTATGCTGTTATTGTTTTGCAGTTGATTGGATTAGGATATATCTCGGCTTAAAACTACAGCTGTTAGCCTACTTAATGATATGGGTTGTACTGGTTTAACACTGACAGAGGACCTTATTGATGAAATGTGCCGATTTGGCACTGCAGAGCTCCATGCTGTGCTGCCGTCATTGGAGGAATTGCATCACAAGAAGTGATCAAGGTAGCATTTTAGACTTTTGTTGGCTCTGTTTCAAATTATGTTTGCATGGTCTGCTTGGAGAAATATACCGAAAAATGATTTTACATATTACACGACTTGGTAAGTACCATGAAATAAAAATTTTTGTGTTTGCTGCAGCTTATAACGACAGTTTGTTCCCATGTCTGGCACATTCATATTCAATGCGATTCACCACAAGTCTCAGTTGTTGACTCTGTGGTAGAACTTCAAGCAAAGCAAATTTTGGAAATAAATGGTGTGTTTTCGTCTCATCTGGTGCAATGATGATTTAAATGAAGAAGCGTGCAGACTTCAGGATTTGTTGGCAGATTCAGTCAAGATATGGGATGGCTATTTATTTGCAGGTATAGCTTTGCTGCTCCATATGTAAAAAAATTCTGGGTTGAGGCAGTATTTTTGTATTTTAACAAGAGCTACTTTTTATTTAGCTTATTGAACAAAGTTGTAGCAATGCCTCATGTTTTGGCATTCCACACCTCTAATTTACCCATTTATAAGAGGAAAAAAAGTATGGGTTGTTAATGAATGCTGGAAATGATCTGACTATGGGTTGAGCCTGTATCAAGATTTTGTACTATAATTCGAGTAGGTCTGGGCTGGGGCAAAGTAAAAAATTAACTGGTCCTGGTCCGGGTCTGGGTCGGGTGACATCTCTAGGCTCTAGCCAAAGCCGACAAATGAATAAATCACTTGAGGGATGAAATATTACAAATCGTGAGCCAAATTGGGAGAAAATTTGGTTAAGGATCCACCTACAGTCCAGTTTGCATTCACATGTGAAAAGCTAGCTAGCATCAGGATGTTGATGCTTCCATTCCTCGGTTGCAAAAGAAAAGGACAGTGGATTCATTCATTGCATTGATCAAGTGGATGCAATGGGGCCTTAAGCTTAGACAGCTAATGGTGGGTTGATAGGGATGCCAAATGTGGAACCATCATCTTCCATAATGCTCTTTTCATGGGTCTACCTCCTAATTTTCAATAATTTTGAATCTACATTAACACCTTCACCTTCATCTTTGTTAAAAGTTAGTTCAAAGTTTGGCAACCAACTTTGAAAAATGTTTTTCAAAGTTTGGCAACCAACTTTGAAAAATGTTTTTCAAAGTTTGGTAAATATTTTTTTGAAAAATATTTTTCAAAGTTTGGTAAAGTTTGATAGATGTTTGTTGAAAATAAGAATGGGTAAACTCACTTTAGTCATTGCACTTTAGGGTATTTTTAAAGATTAGTCCCTAAGTTTTAACTATAAATACCGTAGCTCATTTAGCTTCAAAATCATCCCAAATCCCAAATCATTTCTTTCTCCCAATACTAGAGAGTTTTTTGTGAGTAGTGAGTGTTTTGTAAACACCTGTAAATTTTCTCTCTTAGTAAAAGATCTGCAGCAGTCTAGAGACGTAAGCACAATTGGCTGAACTCTGTTATCAATTTTCGGGTATTATTTTTCCGCTTTTATTTCGCATTCTTACTAATCTAGTTATAGGGAAATTACTTGTTCTCATTTATTTCCCAACAACTGGTAATCAGAGCTTTTGGTTGTGAATTTTATCAATTTTTGCGAGGTTACTATTCATTACTATTCACGTAAATAGTACATTTCGTGAATAGTGAAATTTTGTCGGCGATACGAATTTATCGACGGAGGTGTTCTAATACACGACGGTTCGCAAAAATTGTCAGAACGATCCAAAGAAGCCAGATTCGAGTGGGAGCGATGGCTGCAGACGAAGGGAAGGTGAAAATTGAAAAGTTTGACGGTGCGGACTTTGGCTTTTGGAAGATGTAGATTGAAGATTTTTTGTACCAGAAAAATCTATATCAACCTCTCTCAGGAAAGCAACCAGAAGGCATGAAGAATGAAGATTGAGCTCTTCTCGACAGACAAGCCCTCGGAGTTATCATACTGATGCTATCCCGCAATGTTGCTTTCAACATAGCAAAGGAAAAGACCACGGCGGGTCTTATGGCGGCTCTCTCCGGTATGTATGAGAAGTCATCGGCCTCAAACAAAGTGCACTTGATGAGACGATTATTCAATTTGCGGATGGCGGAAGGGGCATCGGTGGCACAACACCTGAACTTAACACAATCACAACCCAGTTGAGTTCAGTGGAAATTGAATTCGATGATGAAGTTCGAGCTTTAATTCTCTTATCATCTCCACCAGACAGTTGGAATGCTACTGTTACAGCAGTCAGCAGCTCGTCGGGAAACAACAAATTAAAATTCGACGATGTTCGGGATCTGGTATTGAGTGAAAAAATTCGACGAAGAGAATCGGGTGAAGCATCAACCTCCTCAGCCTTACACACGAAGTCCAGAGGGAGAACTTCAGAAAGAAATTCAAATCGTGGCAGATCCAAATCCAGAACGGGAAAATCAAGAACGAGAAAGAAATATTTTACTTGTTGTAATTGCGGAAAGAAGGGACACTTTAAAAAGGATTACTGAGCACCGAAGAAAAATATCGGCGCACAAAAATCTGCCAACGTGACAGAGGATACAGGTGATGCTATGATTCTAAGCGTTAACAGTCCGATTGAATCATGGATCTTGGATTCAGGAGCATCTTTCCACTCCACCCCATGCCGAGAAATCATGGAGAACTATGTCAGTGGTGATTTTGGGAAGGTTCATCTAGCTGATGATGACACCTTGAAGATCGTCGGAAAAGGAGACATCCGATTAAAGTTGCCAAACCAGACCACCTGGACGCTGAAAGGAGTAAGTCATATTCATGGCCTCAAAAGAAATTTGATTTCAGTAGAACAACTTGATAGAGAAGAATATAGCACAACATTTTCAGGCTGTGAATGGAAGATTACCAAAGGAGCACTCGTCATTGCTCGTGGTAAGAAGACTGGTACTCTCTATGTAACCTCAAATTTAGAGAATATCATTGCAGTAGCAGATGCTGATGGAAAATCAAACCTATGACACCAAAGGCTTGGCCATATGAGCGAGAAAGGGATGAAGACACTTTTGTCAAAAGGCAAGCTGTCGGATCTAAAGAGTATAGATGTCGGACTATGCGAGGATTGCATCTTTGGAAAACAAAAGAAAGTCAGTTTTGCAAAGATTGGCAAGACACCTAAGGCAGAAAAGTTAGAGTTGGTTCATACTGACGTGTGGGGACCATCTCTAGTTCCATCTCTTGCAGGCTCATTATATTATGCCACATTCATCGATGATTTTACAAGGAAGGTGTGGGTTTATTTTCTGAAGAAAAAATCAGAAGTCTTTGATACCTTCAGAAAATGGAAGGCCATGGTGGAAAATGAGACTGGTCTGAAAGTCAAGCGGTTGAGGTCTGATAATGGAGGAGAGTACAGAAATCGTAGATTCAAAGAATTTTACGCAAACAATGGGATCAAGATGGAGACAACAGTTCCCATGACACCGCAACAGAATGGCGTAGCAGAGCGCATGAACAGAACTCTGAATGAACGTGCCAGAAGCATGAGGATACATGCCAGATTGCCCAAATTTCTATAGGCTGAAGCTATCAACACTACAGCTTACCTGATCAACCGTGGGCCCTTAGTTCCTTTGGATGGCAGAATACCAGAGGAAGTTTGGAGCAAGAAAGAAATAAACCTTTCACACTTAAGAGTGTTTGGTTGTATTTCTTATGTATACATAGACTTTGCTGAAAGAAGTAAACTTGATGCTAAGTCCAACAAATGTGCCTTTGTTGGTTATGGCGGTGATGAGTTCGGTTATCGATTTTGGGACTACGAAAATCGAAATATCATCAGAAGCAGAGATGTCATTTTTAATGAGAATGTGATGTACAAAGACAGATTAACTGTAGAATCAAGTAGCTCCAATACCGAAGCTGAAACAAAGGAATTTGCTGAGTTCGAGGAGATTTCTAGAAATGATGTTCAGATCAATCCTGAAGCAGTTCAAGAAGAACCAGGCACACCAGAACTGAGAAGCTCCTCCAGAATTCCTAAACCAACCCAACGGTATTCTCCTTCTTTGCACTACTTATTGCTGACTGACAATGGTGAACCAGAGTGCTATGATGAAGCAATGCAAGTGGAGGATTCAGTCAAGTGGGAGTCTTCCATGAAAGATGAGATGAACTCGATTATGTCAAATCAGACGTGGGAATTAGCTGAATTACCACCAGACAAGAAAGCGCTCCACAACAAGTGGATTTACAGGATCAAGGAAGAGCACGATGGGAGCAAACGCTACAAAGCGAGATTGGTTGTCAAAGGTTTTCAACAAAAAGAATGTATTGACTACAATGAAATTTTCTCTCCAGTCGTGAAGCTGCCTACAATCAGACTGTTATTGAAAATTGTAGCTACAGAGAATTTACATCTTGAGCAGTTAGATGTAAAGATAGCTTTCCTTCATGGTGATTTAGAGGAAGAAATCTATATGAGGCAGCTAGAAGGCTTCATAGAGGCAGGCAAGAAAAACCTGGTATGCAGGTTGAAGAAGAGCTTGTATGGTTTAAAACAAGCTCTTAGACAGTGGTACAAGAAGTTCGATAGCTTCATGGGTAGCAGTGGTTTTACCAGATGCCAATCAGATCAGTGTTGCTACATCAAGAGGTTCGACAATAGCTTCATTATTTTATTGTTGTACGTTGATGACATGCTCGTTGCAGGCTCAAACATGCAAGAGATTATACACTTGAAGCAAAAATTGTCGAAGCAGTTTGCTATAAAGGATCTGGGTGCTACAAAGCAGATTCTTGGGATGAGGATCAAGAGAGACACAAAGTCGGGGACTTTGATGTTATCACATGCTGAGTACATCAACAAAGTACTCTCCAGGTTCAACATGCAAGATGCTAAACCAGTAAGTACACCTTTAGGTGTTCATTTTAGACTCTCCAAAGAACAGTCACCAAAGATGGAGAAAGAACATGCACACATGGTGAAGGTGCCATATGCCTCAGCAATTGGAAGTCTAATGTATGCCATGGTTTGTACCAGACCAGATATTGCTCAAGCAGTGGGAGTTCTTAGCAGGTACATGAATAATCCGGGCAAGGTACACTGGGAAGCAGTCAAATGGATCCTCAGATATCTGCGGGGTACTACAAACAAAGCACTTTGTTTCAAAGGTGGAGATACGATACTGACAGGCTATGTAGATGCTGACTTAGCCGGAAATATTGACATCAGAAGGAGCACTACAGGGTATGTCTATACTCTAGGAGGAACTGCAGTGAGTTGGGTTTCTCAACTACAGATGATAGTTGCTCTCTCCACAACTGAAGCAGAATATGTCGCTGTTACGTAAGCTAGCAAGGAGATGGTTTGGCTCCAAAGTTTCTTGGAAGAGTTAGGCAAGAAACAATAAAATAATATCTTGTATTACGATAGTCAAAGTGCTATCCATCTAGCAAAGAATCCGTCTTTTCATTCCAGGACGAAGCA